AGTCTGCACAAAGAGACAAAGACATCCCATCTATGTCAATATATATAATAACCAAGGGAAGGTTCACACGACTAAAAGAAGGTTTATACCGCCTTAGCTAGAAGGTAGGGCGGGCAGAATATATACGGAAGGGAGTAGTAGAGGACTCACCGCCTTACCGAAAGAGAAGTCTCTTTACCCCGCTAAGACTTCTTTTCCTTCCCTTCTCTGTACTTAGAATTCTAGTTGAAATGCGCGCTTTTCATTGAAGATCTGGCTGGTAACACGAAGTAGTATAGTGGATGTACGTCGGATGTAAAAAGTAGTGCCTTGGTAGTCGTTCTCCCTAATAATACCAAGTAGAATACAGAATAGGAATGCGGAGGTAGTACATATAGGACGTTGTTTTCAACAATATTGCTAGGTTATTGCGAGGAGGGCATTTTAGGTAATTGTTGGTAGTTTCTACTATAGTATAGTCCCTATGTATAAGAAACAACATATCACCACCCCTTTATTAAACGAACACTAGTTTGCTTGACATGACTCAACGTAACAGATTAAAAAATAGAGTGACACGTTCATAATCAATTTCTGACCCAGGGGGGCCACATTTCGGGACTCCTCTGGCAGGCCCAGCAATAGCTTCCAAGTCGACCCTTGTCATGCCAGGATGCAGATGGAGATCATATGAAAGTGTAGTCCCATCACCGGATGAATGAAGACGCTGCATACCCATGAGTGTAACAATTTTCACTTGTCGCTGGGAGGTACTAGCCGCTAAATGAGGCCTGACCGTCAGTATATTATGCGACGGAGGTAGGTGGATCGTGATATTCTGTTGTGAAATAAGCGACGAAGGCGGTATATCTAGGCAGAAGTCTGACTGCAACGACAAAGACGCATGCGTGAGAACCCGAACATTACGAATCAAAGCCATCCTTGGGTCTGACTTGTAGTTAGCTGGAAGTCCTCTAAATCCAGTGGAAGTCAAACCTTGGCCTGATCGCCTCAGAAGCGAATCCATGGGCGATGAACCAAAATGCGGCTGGTGAAGCACATGGGCTAACAAGGAGTTAGCAAAGGCCGGGAGCCGAGCAACACTTTCGCTCGGCAACAATATGTCTACCAAGCGTAACGTACCTGAAGCCGAAGATGAATGCCGAGCGACATCTGAAGAAACACCAAAAGACGCGTTGGGTGGATTTTGCGAAGTGGGAATTGTTGGGGCGGTTGCTTTGGTCACTGAGCTCAGTAAGCCTTGGGCGCTCATTGAACTGTTCTGTTGTTTCTCTGAGCCAGATGGTGTGTTTGTGGTGCTCGACCTGGCACTATCAGGGTGCCCCCCAAGAGACCATCCTCGAGGAGATCTACTGATGTCTTGACCTGCTAATCCAGCCCCGGCAATATCCTGCCTATGGCCAGGGGATTGGTTCTTGGACGTGACACCTGAGGGTTGTCCATCGATTTTGGATAGTGTATCGGAGCTCTGCCCAGGCATTTTCAAGGTTAACCTCTGCGCCACTGGAGGCACAGCAGTGCCCACTTTCAATTTGATGCAAGACATATCAGGGGCTCCATCTACCTCAAGGGGGTTCGGAACAAGCTTTTTAGCTTCGGCAACCCGCCGTGGAAGTGATCCTGGGCCTCTAGTGTCAGCATGCCGAAAGGGACAGATGGCGAGAGCGTCGCGGTATTCGCTTACCTCCAAAACTCCCGCGAGAATAGAGATATCGCTGTCGTCTTCGTTATATTCCCTAGCGTTTCGCCATACATAGCTGACCTCCTCTTCAAAGGACTGCCATGTAGGATATGCGGTGGTTCTGGATGAATTCTTCCTGCTGTCGGTACCACGAACTCTTTTTTGAATGCTTCGTAAGGACACTGGATGTTGGATGATCTCATAATAATCCCGGTATAGATTCCGGTCTGGCTTCCCAATGAACGGGTAAGAAACATCCTGGCCACTGGTTCGGGGCGTCAGCTTAAGCAAAGGCTCAGGATTGGGGATACCAACTCAGAATCCTTGAGTCGGGTCAACTCAGACATAATCTTGTCCTGTGCACTCTGAAGAGTATCACCTTCAAAATCTGCCTCGGGCTCGGCCTGCGACCCCGGGGTTCGATCCGCTTCCTCTAGTGACTCTGAGTCCAGATGCGACGACGCACGATTGGACTCTTCGGGAGGCATGAGATCATCGTCCTATCACACCCACCACAGCTTGAGTCAGCATTTGAAATACGCGATCCGATCTATATGTGCAAAACAACATCGGATAGTGAATAGACGCATTTGAACAGTGTAGATCGAACTGTCATAGTAACGACTTCGCTTTTGCCCTCCATTCAAGTGTAAAGGGCCAATCGATATGTACTTAATGCAACAAATTGATACTTACAGAAACCTTTTGACGTTTCGTTCTACGAAACTTCATATCTGGAGAAGCTGCGGCAGCCGCCCGTCGTTTTGAGGTCATCTTGGATTAGTTCTGATAACGTCCCGAGTCGCGAGTCAAGTCACACATTGAAGATAGTAATTTGTGACAAAATACCACGGAGGGACTGAAAATACAGAATTTAACAGAGGGTCAAATAGTTTGAAAGAATTACAAGTAGTGATAGAGTATGGCAAAGGGAGATATCCGCATAGACATTCCTCATCTTAGACGTGTTGCCGACGCGTCCACGTCCACGGAGTCATCCCACATTAGGTAAGCCTAGCCCACAGGTGGGTCCACTGATATTATATAATTCAGAACGGTACGAAAGAATACATACAATAATTACAAATATGACCAAATGTTCGCACTCCGTTACTACTATGTACAGTACATATGTATGTTGAACATTGAAGCAACTGTAAATTTCTATACTAGCTTTTACCAGAGTGTAATTTTCGTTTGGTTTTGATCACGTGGCTAATACCGCAGCCACTGGATTGACACCTGAGGCATCCAATTGTTGTTTCCCTCCCCCACTATTTTCCCGAGTCCCGCAAAACAAGCCCGGTGATTGTTGTTTCGACAACTCTCACTCTTTTCTCTCTGCGTCACTCTTATACTCACCTGATCACTCATCCTCGGTATCTTTGGTTCTTCAGTACAAGGTCATCTTACATATCTCTGGGGCCCCTACCCTGTGAGTGTACGTTTTCAATTGTCGCTACATGCGATAATCATTCAACCACATTGTGAGCCGCATCCTCAGGCTACTTATTACTGGCCTTGTTGCTTGAACAGATGGGAAAGACTGATATTGACACTTCGTATAGCCTCAGATATCTTCGTTCTGTCATTTCTTCTCATTCCGCTATCCCAATGGACATCGACCCAGCTCGGCGCAACAAGAAGCCCCGTCTCCTTTTGGAGACGGAGCGCGAGAAGCTTGATGAATTTGTGGACTCCATTCACTACTCGGCAAGGTGAGGACCTTATGCTATTGTGGTAGACTCTCCATTGACTCCTCCATATAGATACAACGACGACAAATTTGAATACCGCCATGTGCAGCTCCCAAAGAATATGCTCAAAAAAATCCCCACGGACTACTTTGACAGCTCTAAGGGGACTCTGAAATTGCTTTGGGAGGAGGAATGGCGAGCTCTGGGTATTACACAAGTATGTTGAGCATAATTTCAAGATGTGTATGGGTTCTAACAATTACGCGCAGAGCTTGGGATGGGAGCATTATGAGGTGCATGAACCTGAACCTCATATCTTACTGTTCAAGTCAGTTATTTGCAAACTTCTCCCTTGGGTGTATCACTGACCGTCGTCTAGGCGCCCTCTTAACTACCAACCCCCCCTGCAACAATAAGTCAGCATTGATTGGCGGTGTTGTGCTTGGAAATATGAGCAGTTGAGAAGACATTGCTTTATGTTCGTTCATGGCAGGCACACGCATTCGCAATATTGCTCATTAGCGTCCACAAAAGCTTCATAATTGAAGTTCTGGAATGAGACCAAGTTTCATTTTCTTCTTACCAGCCATTTCATTGACACGCTAGACCAGGCTCTCTCTCTCTATCTCTCTCTCTCTCTCTCTCTCTCTCTCTATATCATGCCATCCGGAAGACCAACATCTGTCTTATCGCACGCACCTGGACTGTTCTCGCGAGATCATTAAATCGCGTTCTTTTGGCCAGTCATTCTCCATACTAGACAGCGGTGAGGCTGCTACTGACGCTGAGCTTCTCCACTCCCTGAAGTTGATGTGAGAATCTTGGGATATCATCCTAGTGAAGTTATCCTATGTTGAAGAGTGTTGTGGGTGGGGCATGTACCTCCTCTGCTTGGTTCCTCTAGTTGATGCTAGAGGGGAAACAAACAGACCAAGTATTCGCAAAAGGAGTGGAGAAGTGGGCAGATAGGTATATGCATACCTGGACCATCCACTTAATGTCGTCGGTCATTTGGTTTCACAGCTTTAGTTGCCTACCTGGGTATTTTGCTAATGGTTAGCAAATCAAGTAACTTATTTCCATTCCCACGCTGCCTACAACTCTCGATAGTTGGTCGCATGGCGTTTTGTTGCGCATATAATTTACCGCGAAAGGACATGTTGTATTGCACAAGGTAGTGACGGAAGTAAGGATCAAGTTGAGCTGATCAAGTAAAACACAGGGTGTTTAGTAATACGCACTCTACAACGTCTTAGTAGTAATATAGATTGAGATGCATATCGTAAATAACCCCTTGAAAGGGTCATTCAAGCCCAACCTTGGTAGTCCCTGCTTGCATTGAGAGATGCGTCTCCTAGTACGTTATATATCCACATCTGGGAAAGGCACGGGCACCGAGTATTAATAACGCTTGGGGCCATGGCTGGCTTATGGTAAATATAGAAGTGGTCTCGAATTTGTGCTGATCCACTAAATCACTGCGGAAAACATGTATGTACATAATATTCATACAGAGGTCAAGATGAGTCTTAAGCTCAACATACAACCCGTGAACCTGAAGGGAAACTGGAATATCTTAGGCCTTGGGATGAGAACACTTAAAAAGTCCTGAGTATATGTGATCAACCTCCTAATGCCTTCTGTCTCCTCATGTTCAGATCCTTGAGTGTCATTTCCACTGTTCGCCATTCACGTTTGGCAGGATCATACTCGCCTTTCACCTCAAATCGACAAAACCCATTAGGTCCCTTCAACCCAACTGGACCCGTGATAAAGAAGGCTCCACGGCGAGCAGACCCTGGACTTTGAGCCCGTTCATGGTTCAAGCGTAATCTGAATGCCTGTGATGCCAAGTGCAGATCCGAGCCCGGGCCGAGGTCTGGTAACGGTAGCCGCTGTAATAAAGATATGAGGGAGGATGGGTGGTAGTTGGAGTTCTCGGTATTAGGCGGCATATTTTCTTTGAGCCCGTCGCTCAGAGGTGGTTGTAGCTTAGATTGATCCTTTTGGCCAATCCAGTCCCCTCTTTCGTCACCGGGCGCGGCAGAAAAATCATTCAAATCAAAGGCATTCAGCGGCTCCCCTGCAGGTTTCCTGAAACGATCCAGTTGCCTTAGTAATAGTACCAGATACGCATCTCTGATTGCTAGAGCAACATGAATTGGTTTCATGAAGGTCTGTAACCTGTCACCTATTTCGGGGTCCATCGGCTTCGCGACCCACGATATACTGTCGTCTTTGATCTCCACCCTGTCTACTGTCAGTATAAGCACCACACTTTTAGAGATAAGCAGTACATACCCCGATCGCACATATCCCGGAGGGGCACGGTTTGGAAACTGATGGACAAGCCAGAATCCCGTGAGGGAGAGAGGCTCTCCAAGTATCTGTGACATCTGCCTCCCGCATTATCTAAAACGATTGTAGCGAGTTCATCTAAACTTGTAAGCGCGTGATCTTGAGCAGGGATTGTATCGATTCCTCACCCCTAAGCTTCTCAAGCTTCTTCCGATCCTTGGATAACTTCACAAATTCTTGCCATTCTGGATCTGATGTAGTGTACAGCTCGCCTTGTTGCAAACGAGACCAGCCAAGCGGTATGAACAGCGCTCCCTCATTTTCGACCTCTTTCCCGGTTATTTTGCCGCTTTCCAAGGAGGTTTGGCGTGGGGCTATCCCATCCGGGTTGGTCACAGGAGGTATATCAGCATCGTCGATGTCATCATCAAATCGTATCAGCACGAAGGTGCTCCAGAGGTGGAATGCGGTGCCGTACAGAAGACATTTTGATATGAACGACCTGAGGGATTCTACGTTAGTCTGACCAAAGAGACATTGGTTTTGCTATAAAGTGGGGTCGCCTACCTTATCCAAGGCCGCCTAAACCTCACTCGTCGTACATTTTGTGATTTTGAGAAGTCGGAACGAGGGTGTGTAGGACTGAAGAGAGACGAGCGTGCGTGAGGACTTCGAAGCAGATACCTGAGCCGGAGCATTGGGAAAAGCCAATCCCTGCAATGATTCTCACTAGAGTATCATCTCAATTTGGGGGGCAAAAAAGGAATGGACAGAATCCTTGAAGACTGATATGCACGATGATCTGGCTTGCGAGTTTGAGGTGAAGGGCTCGGCAGTTTAGTGGATTATGTAACATGCGGCATTGCGGCGTCCACAGGTTGCCTACCGTATATACACTGTACCTAGACACATACACTACTACAATACATACATGTACTAGTGCTGAGCCCTTAAAATGAAATGGTATTACTACTAGAACAAACTCCTGGGCTAGAGATTGATGACATGGACTTTGCATTTTCCAGTAATATTTGACGTATATAGTAGATCACGTGATGGCTTTAGTGATATCTTATCAGGTGTCCCCAAGTCGTCTACGGGTCCGTAGCCAAATGGTATTCTGTCCTCGACTGCCTGCTGTTTTACCCAACAAAACACCAGATAACCCCCAGAGAGAATCTTGACGTGGGCATCGCCACGTCTGCCAAATTAGTCTTACTTTACCTCTGGCCCTCCCGATTCTAGCAATATGCGCTGGGTGTCCGCCTTCTTTGCCCTGGCATTAACAGGTGCATTGCAAGCAAATGCACTGGATGCTACAATCTTCACGTTTCCTCCCAAGACAGCAAGCTCTCCAACTGCTAATCCCAACCAACAAACAATATCAGAAGATGAGGCTCGACTTGTCTTGGAGCTTCGCATGAAGTCCTCTGTAGCATCGGTCCTCGGAATGGTAGATGGAAACACTGTGAACCGCTTGAATCATTTTGCTCAGGATGACCTCACTCTCTTTGGGGGAGCTACCGGGGGCATTGCTCTCAAGAAAAGCATCTTTATTTTGGAAGGGATTGACCAGGAAGTTGGTAAGTGGAAGTGGACTCACACTTGACTGGGAACTTTGGCTAATGTCCCTGCAGCCCTAGTCATGCAACAAGCCCAACCAGACCATCTTCATATTCCTCAAATCTCCTCACCATTTATCGGACCTGATCTCCTGGAATCATTTACCGAAAGCAGCACTACTGCGAAAGAGGACCGTGAACAAATGTGTACATACTACAACGATGCTGGAAGGGCTTCATCATCAACATCCCAGGTAGCAAAGCCAACTTTAATAGTATCCAGGTTCTCTCGCTAATCTTCCAGCTACACCAGACACCCAAGGAATGCTTATCCAGGGACCCCATGTTTGCTGATGGGTCTGATCTGCTCGCCCGTGACTTCATTACGCTAGTCGATTCAGTGGAATCCTGGACAAGCAAGGATCACAAGGATTCGGCTTTGAAGTTGTCCTTTAAGGTATCGACTTTCTCCCCTATCTCATTAGTGAATGATGTCTGATCCCACGTCCCCAATTTCAGGATATGTCTGGTGATTCTGCTCTTGGAACCAAGCTCCTAGAGACATTGCTTCTTCACCTAGCTCAAATATCGTCGACCAGCCACCGCGAAATCACGACCGTGGTTTTACCTGCTGGTGTTAAATCAGAAGGACTCAGCCGCCGAGGTGCGAAGCAATCATTGGCACCAGTCAGCCAAAGAAATGCCTTCAGGAGGTCGATGCAGAATTCTGCGCTGCAGTCAACCCTAGCGCCTATCTGTCATGCTTCAAACTCCTCGTGCGCCGAATCTACCAATGATTGCTCCGGACATGGTTCCTGCTATCTGAAATACGGCTCGGGTGTTGAGGGAACTACAGGCAATTGTTATGCATGCCAATGCACACAAAGTATTGTTCGGAATAGTGATGGTACCAGCAAGACAGTTCAGTGGGGTGGATCAGCTTGCCAGAAAAGAGACATTAGCTCACCTTTCTTCCTCGTTGCAGGGGTGAGTCTGCTTGCCATTGTTCTAGTCGCTAGTGCGATTGGGATGCTTTTCAGTATGGGCTCACAGGAGCTACCCAGTGTCATCAGCGCTGGTGTAGGTGGTCCTAAGTCTCAGATGTGAACATATGGACCTGTATTGGTGTTTAAGGGGTGTTTTTCCTTTCTTCTTTTGCCATCTTTTTAGGGGAGCAGGGCTTCATGTTCTTTACCTCATTTACCCCTTAACCTACAAGTGAATGTTTACTTTTGTTCCTGATTACACCTTCCCTGCACTGCATCGAGGGGAACCAGTTCAATACGGCAGTACATAAGTGTAAGGTGGCACAAACTACATAGGTATCTTAGGGGGGACGCAGCTATATGAGAATAATATGTTGTATAGCGTGTACAAGACAGTACTATGTTATGTACTCTGGTGTTGTGCACCAAGAGATATATAGATATTCAACTAGTAACAAACCATTCAGCACGCTAAATGGACTAAGAATTGGCGGAGAAACAGTGGCTGCAGTAGTACCATAGGACAAAGCTCCCCATGGCATAGAATAGGATGAGAGACAGAGAGAGAAAGACAATTCGTGAATCGGCTGGTGGCCACATGCGCTCCAGTGAAAGTCGCGCAAAAAAAGATAAATTACACATATCAAGTCATAAACAAGGAAAATAAAACACCAGCCAACATTCCAGATGTGGCTCCAGCATGAAAATAAAGGTTAGTCAAATCGTGAAGGGGTATGAAAAGGATAGCAGCCAAGATCTATCATGTGGTACCAGCTTCGACTTGACGAGGTGTGCGTCTCTCTGGATCCACAGGTGAACTCCCAACTACAGGTGATCTTCTTGACGAGGGAAAATGGAAAGAAATCTGGCGGAGTCGAGTGGGAACAAATCGAGACCAGGTGGATTGACCTGAAGAATTAGAGGCATGGGCTGGGTTCCAAGGCTGATCATGCCCATTCCGCACATGCTGTTCTCGAGTGGTAGATATGTCTCTTTCCTCGGGTGTCGATTGAAATATTCGGCTAGGCAAGCCCATCTGAGCCCGGAATCCATTTGCCCTGCCACCATTCCAAGCAACTCGAGGAGGTCTGAGAATTGCATCCGGATAGTCCGAGGCTATCCGACGACCCCGGCGATCCGTGACAGACTGTGCTTCGGTCTGTGCGCGGGGTTTGGGTACATAGTAATCGGCCTTGCACAGAGGGCAACACGCCCTTCTGCTGGTCAGCCAGGGGTCAACGCATGAGGCATGGAAAGCATGTCCACATGCAAGTCCCCGGATATCATCATCGTCCTCGATGATGTCCAGGCAAATCGCGCAAGAATCGCCAGGGTTGGGCAGAAGATCAGCAGGAACAGCATTACGAATGTAGGCACCACCGTCAGCATCATGGCCCTCGAGATTAATGTTGATGTTTTCATTGGCCAAGGATTGCTGCCATTTCTCTCCCTGCGTACCTGCACCAGTGGATTGCTGAGTAGAAGGCACCCCAGATACTGCAGGGCCCTTCTCTTCCGAAGTCTGCACTGGAGGGCCATCTTGCAGCTCTTGGGTGGGAGTCCGTGATGTGTCGTTGGAATCCGCCCGGCCATGGCCATTGATGGATGGTGGTATTGCAGCTGTGTGAACCCCAACCGCCGTTGTCACGATATCACCATCATCTTTTAGGCTCTGTGGTCTGCTATTCGGAGCCGTGATACCTCCTTCCGTTGAAAGACCCTGGTTGGCGCGAGATGACCTCCACACTTTGTACTTGACGAGTGGAAACCGCACGTTTACCTCGTCCATCGTCATTAGCCGTTTCTCCCTTCTCCTGCGATGAGGTCGTGGCATGGTGACCAAGTCTATGGGCTCTCCCACTTCCTCGCTGCGGAGCTGACGGTTTCGTTGATTGTATCGAAAACAGTATTTGACTCCAACAATGATCCTGAGATGACCGTCAGATGCCATCTCTGAAATGCTAGAAGGCTGGCCTGGTGGCCAGGACAGAGGGAATATGAAGCGACATACCATAGATTTGTGAATACAACACCAAAGCCAAGAGCGACGAAGAATAATAAAGGTGAGCTTGTAGCATTATTCGAGCCCGAACCCTCTCCGCCGCTACTTGCAGTAGTGGTGGCAGCACTGCTAGAGGCTGATGTTGAAGACATTCCGACTAAGATTCGGTATGAAAATGACCGCGCTGATCCCACCCGGAACGGCGTCACTCGATTATTGTTGGAGTCTCAGTTGCCCCAAGTTCGATCCTTCATGCCTTGAGTTGTGTGTACAGGGCAACCCTGTATGTAAATTCCGGGCCAGACTCCAGCAGATTAGGTCCAAGGCGACAACAAGGTGGATAGGAACGATCTAAGGGTATGTCCCCCCCATGCGAAAAAAAAAAGGTTGGAGATTAAACTTGATGGCCTGTCACAAACGATCGATCGCAAGTAGAACACACAGAACTTCCTGCAAAGAGGTGAATGCCGAGGGTCGATCTCATATCATTATTAGTAGTAAGAGCAGAGGGAGCCTGAGCGTGGAGAGAGAGAAAGAGAGAGAGAGGGAAAGAGAAGGATAGAAAGAGAAGGAGAGAAGGAGATAGAGAGATAGAAAGATAGAAAGATAGAGTGAAAGTGGATCAAAGAGGCCTTTAATGATAGAGACTGACGCCTGAGGCTGGAATCACGGGACTGTTAAAAGTCTCCCCAGGTAGATTTTCTCTGAGCAGGGGATGAGACCAGGGCTATTTACCCCCTTTCTTTTCTTTTCTTTTCCTTCTTCTATTTATTTGGAAATAAATTGTGTGCATATTATTGCTTACATATGTAGCCACCTTTCAAGCCTGGAGGTACATATAATAATGGCTATAATAATGGCCTGCAGCGACCATAGAGCATTTCAAGGCTTCAACTATCTGGTACTGTAAATTATGTAACACGTTTACCTTCCAAGGTTGTACAACTGTATAGTACATATATACTTACAGTCAGTACGCATTAATTTTAGCACCCCTCCCTTCACACCGCCCATATCAAGGCTCTACCGCCTAGCAGACCGGTTATCAAGTAGTGATTTAAGGCACCTAAAGTGTCTTCAGTATCTGGTAAAAAAAGGATTTTATGCCTCGGAAGTAACATTCTAGTCAGAAATGTGATTTTTAGCAAAGCAAGTATGTTATTATAACCACCTGGCTAATTGGGTGGATGATTTGACCGGCAGAATATTATGTAATAATATAGTGGAGCGAAGGGTTCTAGGTAAGATTAATGCGGAGTCACTGTATATCTAGGTATGGATAATATGACATGTAGGTAATTATTCATTAACCCCAACAATTTGTACCTAGGTATACAATAGTGCATTTCGATTAATGAAATCTGTATGATCAGTTCCTGGATATGCTTAGATTCCTTATAACTTCATACTGAATTGTAGTTGGGTATGAGACGTTGATATAGTACGCTCCGGGACTTGAAAGGTACAGTAGGACCTCGGAAATGTTGGGCTAAACCTTTGTACCCAGATATACCGCCCTGTATACCGCCTCCATTTTAAACATGCTGTCATAAGAATACGTAGTAGTCGGCCATAGTCTTCTTAGTTGTCTTCTCAGGTACCTAGGTAGTCTTCTCCGATAGACTTTCATGCGTCTTTTCAGTGGTCTTAGGTCTTTTCCTGACAGTCTCCTTGGGTACATACCCGTGGACCTTTTGACTGCTCCTCTTAGCGCCGGATCACGTGGCTACACGCTAACCCATATTAGAAGTTTTAGACTGGCAGAACCGGCAGAATTTGGAGGGCGGTATATCTGGGTATAAAGGCTTAGCCCAATATTTCGGAGGTCCCACAGTATCTAGGTAGTTCTTGGTTCGTAATCCTTTAAAAAAGCCCAGTTACCTTCTCATATCTCTAAAACGAAAGAAGACTGTAATGTATATATCTAATATATACGTGTATATATGTATATTCCAGAAGAGGTGGTCAATATGAAGTCAGTCCTGCATGGCCACTAATTTAACTCCGTACCTTCCGAATCCCCTGGTTCACCTAGGTCTATCCAAATGCAAACTTCCCTCTTCATCACATCTGCACAACCCCAGTTTCGCTATGGCCGAACCGAATCCAGTGGTTTTCTTTGATATTGCCCTTGGAGGTAGGTTTCATTATTTGCATGCGGTGGCTTAGGCATTTGAGTAGTCATCTAACATGGCGAACCCCTGCTAATATAACCACAGGCGAGTCTCTAGGTCGAGTGAAAATGGAGCTGTTCGCCAATATCACCCCACGGACTGCGGAGAATTTCCGTCAATTTTGTACTGGCGAGAGCAAGAACCCCAAGGGACAGCCCCAGGGCTACAAAGGAAGCAAATTTCACCGAGTGGTAAGTTGATGAAGCTCCTTGGATATCGATACCGAATTAATGCTCGCTGCAGATCAAAGATTTCATGATCCAGGGTGGAGATTTCATCAATGGCGATGGCACTGGGTCATGTACCATCTACGGCACCTCGAAATTTGCTGATGAAAATTTCACTCTCACACATGACCGTGCCGGTTTGTTAAGTATGGCTGTAAGTCTGAACTCGAGATTACCTGTCTACCTTTCTATGTTGTAGGAATTTTCATTAACGACAACAGAATTCGGGCCCAAACACCAATGGTTGCCAATTCTTTATCACAACCACGGCCACACCATTCTTGAACAACAAGCATGTGGTCTTCGGCCAGGTGATTGATGGGATGGATCTCGTTAAAATGGTTGAACAGACCCGTACTACTAAAGACAAGCCCAACCAAGATGTAACGATTGTGCAATGTGGAGAGATGTAATGATAATTACACAAATGGAGTGATATCTGGGAAACAGCCACATCCTACAAATCTATAGCTCCTAGAATTAAAAGTGTCTGAATTATGGATATATATATATCAATTTCATATGGCTTTAGTAACCAGGACCTTTTTGTGGATATTTCATAGTGATCGGCACAAATATGATCATCCGAACATACAAAAAAAAAAAGAACAAGACTTCACAGAATCATGCCCTTAGGTCTAGAGCTTAAACTTATTCAGATAATCCGCAGCCAGTGAGATAGCCTCCTCGACCTTGTCAGTGTTGGTACCGTTACCAATGGAAGTAGGCCCCTTTCCTCCTGCTTTTCCTCCCACAGCGCCAGAGACGACGGCTGCCCAGTCGCTTGCCGAAGCACCTTGGTCACTCAGTCCCTGTGTCCAAATCAGTATAAGAATCTCTAATATTTTACTATTTGCTTTCCCAAGCACAACATGGGAAAGACTGATGTAGCCTGTTACTCACCTGAGAGATGTAACATCCGTGTGAAACCCGACCTTGTTCAGAGTCGGCAGCCAAGAGATAGACACTCTTACCCTGCATCTTTGATTTGACATGGTTGAGGGATTCACTAACAGCCTTGGCATTGGCAGAGATCGGAAGCTGGACCACAAGCCACGACTTGTCTTGATTTTCGGGCGCCTCGAAATACGAGGTGATAGCCTCGACTGCCTTCTTCGATTCCAGTTTTTGTTGGGCCTTTTGGCCATCGAGGACCTCCTTATTGATCTTGGCAAAGCGTTCGCGGAACTTGGCCTTTTGGACGGCGGAGATTACAAGCTGGTTGAGATCCACCTGGACTTGCTTAGCCTCCTGTTCCTTTTCGGAGCCCAAAGGTAATGCGTCCAGCCGATCAAGACGCTGTCCGAATTCCTCGGCAACTCTCTGCACCTCATGCGCATCCTCTCCAGTGACGGCAATAATTCGACGAATTCCCTTGGCAATGCCATTCTCCTCCAGGATGATCAAGTCCTTGATATCGCCTGTCTTCTGCACATGAGTTCCACCGCAGAATTCGATGCTGACTTCCTGCCAACGGGGATCTTTCACATTTTTCAGGATCTCCTCCAATTCCACACCGACAGAGACAACACGAACAGGGTCGGGGTAAGTCTCGCCGAATACGGCCCTAACGCCGGAAATTTGCTGGGCAGTGGCAAGCGGAAGTTCTTGGGAGTAAACCGCACAGTTCTGTCGGATATAATCAGTCGACTTGGCTTCGATCTTCTCGAGCTCGGCATCAGAGATTGCGCTTTTGCGGGAGAAGTCAAATCGCAGCTTCTCAGCGGCCACTAGGGAACCCTTCTGCTCGACACCATCGCCTAGGACCTCCTTCAGAGCGAAATTCAGGATATGGGTTCCGGTATGGTTATTCCGGATGGGCCAGCGTCGGAGCTCATCGTACTCGCAAATGACAGAGTTGCCGACAGTAAATGATCCGTATTTCATGAAGCCGGTGTGTAGAACGTATCCGGCGTAAGACTGTACATCGCCAACTTCAAGCTCCGCTTGTCCGTCAATGATGATCTTGCCTGTATCATTTTCTTGGCCACCCTGTTCGGCATAAAAGTTCGTACAGTCGAGAATGATGCCAAGCTGTGCTCCCTCGGGGACATCGTCAGTGCTATTGTGGAACGTCTTCCCGTGGTAGATAGCCTTGACGTGAGCGGTGATGTTACCTCGGCCGAATTTAGGCGAATCATCCGTTTTTTGTACGTCGTTCATTTTCTCCAGCTTGCCTAGGTCATGGACATCAAGCTTGACTGTGTTCTCAGCAGCTTTCTTTTGACCCTTGCTGGCTTCCTTCGCCTTCAAGCGAGCCTCTTCAAATTCGACATCATCAATGCGGAGACCACGTTCCTCGGCCATGATTCGAGTCAGATCAACAGGGAAGCCAAAGGTGTCGTACAGTCTCCACACATCGGCACCATGGAGCATATCGGTGCCCTTGACTTTAGCCTGTTGGGCGTATTGCTCGAACTGCCGCTCACCTCTATCCAAAGTCTTGGCAAATGACAGCTCTTCCTCGTCCAAGATTTCTATAACATCTTGCTGCTTGCGCTTGAGTTCAGGGAACATTTCACCCAATTGATCCACAACAGTCGGCACAAGCTTGGCGAAGAAATTCCCAATATCGACCTGGAAATATTTCCGGGCATACCGAGCTCCTCGGCGTAGGACACGGCGAATCACATAGCCACGGCCCTCGTTGTTGGGAATGACGCCATCCGAGATAGCGAACATCAAAGTCCGCACGTGGTCTGCAACAACACGGTAGGCTGTGTCAATTCCATCGGCATCATCGGCGCCAAA